ACAAGCTGACTTCAGCTTCGTAAAAAGTAGAATGCTGAACGTTTTACAATAAACTATTATACATTTCTGGAAAATTTCCTGCTGGAGATGTGAGAAAAGCAGCTATAGCTGAGCTAAAGCTTTAAGCAGAGCAAAGCAAGTCTGCGTTTTTATTTATATTATATTTTTTAGCCTATACTAGTACATCAGCACATACTGAGACATATCTACAGCCAAGATGGTGAAACATTACTTGAATAAAGTGGACATGAAATGTTGTGGCTCTCAAGGTGGTTAGATTTTTGTTGAAACTTGACAAAATGGCTCTTAACATTTGGGTTGCCGACCCCTGAATTCCTTTTAAACATAGTTAAACTAGCTACATGTAAAAAGTGAGTATGTGGCTGTTAGGCTTCAAGTAGTTAGGAGTCCAAGCGCCAAATGTGCTGTATCCTTAGTGTTTCTTGCTCAGATTGGCATTAATTATTTTTTATTTTTGTCTGCCCCGTGATGGACTGGTGACCTATCTAGGGTGTTTCCTGCTTTCTGCCCGATGCTCAATGTTTTTCTTCCCTAAAATGAATTGTGTAGACCAAACTATAAGGCCTGCAGACATGAAACTTGGTCAATAGGTAGTACTCTCTCCCTTTACGCGGGAATGATATCAGATGAATCTCCTTCTGTCTCTCTGTGTTACTTCTGTGAATGGGGTGAAGCAACGGTGCTCTCAGACCAGGGTTTTTTATTCTAAGCAGGGAGGACTTCTAAATGATGGTTTTCTTAAATAACTTTAGCTAAAAGTAAAGTCTGCTCAGCAGAACAGAAGGTATGTAATGTTGTTTTCTACGTGTGTAACTAGATAGGTGACAGTGCCCTCTTTTGACCTGAATCAGGCTGCTGGTCTGTATTGGCAGCGGGCCACATGTGCTCTTACTCCTCGTTAGTATAGTGGTAAGTATCCCCGCCTGTCACGCGGGAGACCGGGGTTCGATTCCCCGACGGGGAGATAAACCTTTTTTTTTCTCCACCCCTTTTGTATGAGTTGACATGTGAAATGATTGAAGTTGTTGTTAGTGTCTACAGAGTCCCTAAAGTGATCTTAATATAGTAAGTTGTGGCCACACCTTAATAAAAAAGGAGTAATCGTGTTAGGAGCTCCGCAAGTATCTTCCAAAAAACCCTGATCAAATCAGCGAGGTGTTGAAGAACAGGACAAGCCAGTGTAAGAATGTCAATACAGAGTAGATTAGTCATTAAGATGGCACACATGCTGTTGAGGTAAATGCAAATAATTGCATTTCAGATGCACTTCAGTCCAGGGGGGGCAAATGGTAAGTAATTGTTACAGTCAGTAAATATTACTGTAACACTGGTGGTATCATAGTCATGATTTCCAAATTCAGGACACCAAATCCAACTTTGGAGGTATTTCAACATGCGCTCACTCCTCGTTAGTATAGTGGTAAGTATCCCCGCCTGTCACGCGGGAGACCGGGGTTCGATTCCCCGACGGGGAGAGCATTATTTTCTCCCCCTCTATTTTGTATAAATAGACCATCAAGATATTTATGCTATTGTCAGTGTACCTAGACAGTGTGCTGGAAACGTCTTACTTCGTGTTTCAGTCTTGCTCTGTACGTTTTCTTGGAGCCTTGAAATCTCAAAACACTTCAGTTGAAGAAATTCTTTAAGAAATTCCTGGAAAATATTTGGAAAAAAATGAAAATGGATCTTGTCCGAAACCGAAATTCAAGCTACGGAAATGGAAAAAAAGTCGTTTTTTTTTTTTAAATATATATTTATGCTTTTGAATGAACCCAATAAATGTAAAATCACTTAATGTTGATAATCATTTGTTTTAACAGGACTAAACAGTTATTTACAGTCTCAGAGTTTACAGTCATTGAAAACATAAAGTAAACGTTTCCTTTAGAATCCAGCATCCTTGACAACAGAGAATGATGGGTCATTCAAGGCAGGTAATTCCTTTATGCTGACTAAGGGGTCTTTCTTCTTTTTTCCAGGTAGAAGATGCCATACCGGTTTCTCTTGTGTTATATTAGCTTGCGCCAATACATTTATTCAAGGGGTTAAAGGTCTCCTAGATGAACTTGACAAGAAGCGAAAATAACAACTGCTGGAAGTGAAATCTTTTCTTACATTCCCTTATCTTTTCCCATTCAAGTGAACTGGCTTTTTCAGAAGAATGCACTGATTATAAATACTGTTGGTGTATTACAGATGGGTAAAATACCAGTTCATCCCAGCATGACATTTTATACTTAGACGTTTAGTAACAAAGCAAAGCTCTGTAAAACTGTCTGCTACAATCCATCTGTCACTGCATGCATGTGGGTTTAGGTTTCGAGCATTTAGCAGTGTCAGTTGGGCCTGGTCAGGTTGAGTCGCAGGCTTCAATTTCATGTCCAAGTAGACCTCCCGAACACTGAACCGAGAGTTTGTTATCTACATTTGTACCTACACTCATTGGCCTTTTTATTAGGTACATTTACCAAATAGATAGATGGATAGATGGATAGATAGATAAATAGATAGATAGATAGATAGATCACTATTAACCCCAGGAGGAAATTCATCGATTACTGCAGCACATTGTACAGTAAAGAGCAGAAGTCTTGCCGTATGTTATTATGCAGATGCATAAATAGAAGTAAAGATGTATAATAAAATATACTAAAACAACCATAACCATAAAATATATTGTGCAGTACAAATAAGTAAATAAAATCCTATAAATATTATGCAGGTGACAGTGCAGTGGGCCATGTCACATCCAGTGAATCATCCAAGCGGAAACACGCAAACCGAGTTAATATAAGTCAGGGGGCTTTGTTAGTTAGTACAGTGTTAAGCATTCTCACGTTCTTAAACTGGGGTCTGATGTCTCGCCGGAGTGAAAGTCTTTTTGTTTCCTTGCGATGGTCAACTGGTCAAGCAAATTGAGTCCGCGGGTAACCGTAACCAAGAATCCTGGAGAGCTTAGCTGGCCTTGTTCTTTCTGGGTGAGTATGATGCTAGCCAGCACAGGCATTTGCAAGCTGACAAAACAGAACTGGCAGTTAGTGTTCTCCTCCAAGCGTATTGAGCTGTACAGTGACTTTAGCAACAGCTTGACAAGATGTGGTGGTGCTTCATGTGATTTGGAGGAAGCTTGTGCTAGCCTTCACCCTCCCAGCATAGTAACATCGTGTAATGGGGGAGAGCTGCCTAGGGTCACTAATACTGTCACTACAGAAAACCACTTGTGTCAAGAGTTGGGTGCTGATCTGGATAAACTGCAGTAGATATCCGAGTCCAGCAGCCAGCTGTGAGTAACTAGAATGTATTTTGGATCTTAGTAGATGAGATTCACAGGGTGACGGGTCAAGCAAGTTATAGTTTCAAGGGACTTTTTTGAGGATAAAGAATTGCACAATGCTTAGTTTCAATTGTTTATAAGTCCTGTCTGCCCAACATGTGGCTACAGGAACATGGTTTGCTGGTGTAAACATGAAGCCACAAAAAAGGATGTGACCAAACCTTTTTAGGCAAGAATGCAAAAGAGTACTTAGTATAATCACTAAGTAATCTTTTGAACACTGCACATAATTTACCAACCATTCTCAAGAAGAAATTTCTTCTTAAAACCCACTTAACCAGTTTTCACAAAAATTCTGGCGTTCACCAGTGTTTCCTTATTTGGGTTTTTGTTGTTGGGTAAGAACAGAATCTACACACACTCAGGAGCACAAAGGTGTGAGCAGTTCCTGCGGGTTAAGAACACGTCATGAATCTGACGTAGACTTTTTCTTAGGACCTTTCTCGAGAGCAGAAGGTGCAGAAGAGACGCACTAACAACCTGCAACCGTCACCCTGAAGTTAAAGTTGGAACATTTCAACATGACTAGCACCAAGAATTCTGGGAAAGTAACGTCAGGTATTGAAGGACTGAAGGAAATGAAGGAGAGTGGCCTTTAGTGGCCTACTGTCGGTCCTCTGCAGAATATCTTTGAGAAACTCTGGGATGACTTGAGCTTGGACTGTTTCGTACTCACTTAAAAAAAGATGGTTCTTTTAAGGGTTCTTTAGTAAAGAACCCATTTGTGTGCTTAAATGAGTCTTTGCATGGTGAAATCGTTCTTCAGATTGAGGGAGAACGTTATATTTTTGAAAATGGTTCTCTGTAGCACCAAGAAGGTTGTTCTATTGTATACACACCTAAAAAGATGGTTCTTTAAGGGTTCTTTCGTAAAGAAATTGTTCTATATAGAACCATGAACACTCTGAGAACCCTTTGCACAGTTAAAGGGTTCTTCGCATCGTGAAAGGGCTCTTCAGGTTGATGGAGAACGTGCTATAGATGGTTCTACATAGAACCTTCCTGAAAACGGTTCTATATAGCACCAAAAAGGGTTCTACTATTGTTACGATGTCACTCTCCATCAATCTGAAGAATTTCACCATGCAGACCATCCTGGTTCCAAATAGAACCATTGCTTCTTCTGAAGAACCCATTAAGAACTAAATTAAGCGTGTATGGAGGAACTTGACTTACCTCTGCACTCAGCTGCTGCAGGATTTCCAGAATTTTCCAAGGCTGTAGATTTTGGTTCAGTATAAAAAATTGTAAGGAGACGGACAAACAGTTGTTCTTAGGCAATAATTTTCCGAAACGGTACCGGCTGCGTGTGTAACATGGCCGGTTAGCTCAGTTGGTTAGAGCGTGGTGCTAATAACGCCAAGGTCGCGGGTTCGATCCCCGTACGGGCCAGTTCGTTTTACTTTCTGTGACCTCTCCTGGGGTTTTGACATGCCTAGAACAGGTAGCGTTACTGTGCGTTTTAGGGGACGCGGTGCGGTTTTTGTAAGACACAACGACACGTTTTGCCTCAGTGACAAGTTCTTTTATGTTATTTACAGAAATGTAACCTTAAACAATCTAACAATCCTATGACCCCCTGCGCTGCCCGTCCTTACCGACAGATGGCGATACGCGACTTTTCTTAGCTGCAAACCGCCGATGGCGATAAAGAGCGAACATGCAAGCATGCCCGGCGTTACTGAAGACAAACACACGCCTGTTTGTGTTTCATTTGTTTTAGATCATTGAGACTTGAGACTTGAAGCTTGAAGTCTGACATCGTTAGGACCTGGTTTTGGTCGATATGGCTGGCAACATAAAGGATAAAGAGGCTTTTCAGAGGTTGAACTTCCTTTACCAAGTAAGTACGCTAATAGACTGTCTTAACGTGGAATTCCACCCATTTTTGAAAAAGTCAGAATAGTTCAGTCTTTCAGGTGTAAACGAGGTCATTCAGAGTGGTTTGATGAGAAGTGGTTCTCTGTAGAGACACTTACAGACTTGGATTTCTTCACAGTGGTGGTGATAGGAACCAGAGGTCACCATGTCTAACAACACAAACATAGCCATTTTATTTACTGTCCAAAACCACCAGTGAACCTACACGTGTCTTCTGAGTTTTTATATACTGTTGATTATGGTAAAATACCCCCCCACAATTTTTTCAGATTTATGACTATTTTGCCTTACATCTCTCTGCATGTACCGCTCCACCATGAATAGATTAACATAAATGGATTAAAATATATTTTAAGCCAAAACTTTATCATAAAACAGTATGTCAGACATCAGGCAGCATGTATCTGCGCGTTTTATGTAATAACGTTCTGCGAGGGAGCTGTTAGAGGTGGACGTCTGGTTCCTATCACCACCACTGTGAAGAATTCTGACTTGATCAGCTTCTCTAGAATGAAGCACATCAAACCACTCTGAATGACTTTGTCAATGTCTGAACCATATAATTGTGTAAAAAATGTTATGGGTTCACTTTGTGAACACTTTGTAAATAAAGCAAATCTGAATTTTCTCCACGCTATGCATTCCAGGCTGCTCATTGTGTTTTGGCCCAAAACCCTGAAAATGTTGAACTGGCACGGTTTTATTGCTTCACTCAAAAAACAATCGCCAAACGCCTGGTGCTGAGACAGTGAGTAGCACATTTTTATACACTGGTCATTTATTTGTGTTCTTTACGCAAGTAAGGAAGTAAATAAGAAGATAAAACACAACAACAGAAGTGCTTAATTGGAAATTCTTGTGATGCTTTAATAATGTATGTTTGCTTACAGAGATCCCTCAGTGAAAAGAACCATATGTAAGAAATGTTGCTCCTTACTTATCCCCGGCGTTACATCCACTGTCAGGCAAAAACGTAAGATATTTTTTCTCCTTTCTGGTTAACTTCTTCAAAGAAGTGTTTTTATTGTATGGATTATGTGGAAATACTAACAGTCTGATCTTTCAGATGTCTCAGGCTTTTCCTAAATGGATTTTTCTTTGTCCAATCATATCAGGAGGTCCCCGAAGGCAGCGTGTGACTGTAATACGATGTCTCAGCTGTGGACTAACCAGAAGGTTTCCAAACAATCCAAAACACCAGCTGTGGGTGGACCAGCCTGAGGCGCAGTTAGAGAATCAGCCTCAGCCGGGTACGAATGCTGATTGTTATACACAACAATTTGTCATTTCTTTCAAATCAGGCATATTTTCATTTATTGTCTTCACATAGTAATAACACGTATGTCCGAAAACATGCAGATGTCAATTCTTATAACTGAGTTAAGTTATTTAAAGAGGCATCTGTTGCTGATATAGGTTTTTAATTGCATGTACACAGCTTGTATAATGTCCATAGAAAAGCACAGAGTGGGACATTGAGCAACCGCACATCAGTCTAAGGTCACCATGCTCAATGCCAAGAGGGTAGTAAAGCCCATTACCTCACACCATCTTCTAGGAGAAAATCTCCCTTATGACTGATTTCTCAGCAATGTATTCCTGCAGGCTGGACACTGAGCAAGTGATGATGCTGTGCATTACGTATCACCCCATATATGCAGAATAGTTTGTGTTTATCGTTGGCATTTCATTCGTTTTGAAAGGGTAATTCCACCTTTTTTAAAATTTCCGCCTGACTAAATCATTAAGGTGGAAGCAGTCATTCAGAGTAGTTGAACGTGAATCCTCTGTTCATGAGAAACTTGCCAAGTCAGAGTTGTTGACAGTGGTGGTGATAAGAACTAGACATCTGTAGAGTTTAATACATTTAAAAAGCGACGTCACAGAAAGTTAGTTCTGAGATTTTGGCCTTAAGCTTACTGCCAAAATTTGCTCACATGCAGGGTGTTTTAAGGGAAAATCAATTTTCAGATTTCCTACTATTTCACCATTGTAAACGTTACGTATAGGCTAACAGCTCAGAAGAAACGTGTAGGTTAAAATGGTCCATTTGGATATTAGATAAATGACTGTTTGCACTGTAGATTTATGGTTCCTATCATGACCATTGTAAGTCAATAGGTTTCTTTACAGTGAATCCTTTTACATCAAACCAGTCTGACTGACTGTTTATACTGCTACCATGAATTATGCAGAAATTTTGAAAATCATGAGTTCCCCTTTAAGTGCACTTGAATGTAAAGAAGATTTAAGAGTTTGCTGGAAAGGATTAAGATAAGGTTAGACTCACTAGTCTGGGTTATGCAGAACATGAACAGCTTGAGTGCAGCATATATATATATATATGTATGTGTGTGTGTATATGTATGCGTGTGTGTTTGTGTATATGTATGTGTGTAATATATATATATATATATATATATATATATATATATATATATATATATATATATATATATATATATATACACTATTAATACCCTTCATTTCAGAAGAACAACTTTTGGACACACAGTGTAATATCTTTTCCTCTGTTGTTTTGTGCTCCTACAGAGACACAGAATCCTTCATCCAAAGCTGCTGTCCAGAGCGACAAACCTCATGAATCCAGTGGGGTGGATTCTTCAGCACAGAACCCGGCCACTTGAGATCCGGCTTCTCTGAAATCCTTTGGTGTCTGATTTTCTACTTGAGACTTGATTTCCAACAGTAAGGACGTCACTGTTGGAAGTTATTTACTGCTGTGACCTGCATGCATTCTGTGTGCTGTTACACTGGGTCAGTTGGAACTAACATTGATTAGTAAGTCCCTGCAGGACCCCTGTGCTCGTGCTTCATTGGCTGACTGCAACGAACACTGCAGAGGAGAAATATTCCATGTTGTTGTTACATTTTAGTTGCGCTGTGTGTATATTGAGTGCATGACAACTTCTTTTGAATGGAAGCTACACATGGCTTCCTTTATTTTCATATCAAGATACAGTTGCTCTTGGTTAAATTACATGTTCTGTTGATTAAGTGAAAATAAGTTAACACATCCTCTACAGACTTAAATGTGGCATTTTTCTGCAAATTGTAGTGCACAATTTCCATTTGTCTTAACATATTTGTAAAAATAAAAAATAAAAAACAAAATATAAAATGTGCCATAACTTTTGCACAGGCCATATTATATATTCTGTTTTTTCCCAAAATGTTAAATTCAGCAAATAATCAGTAATTGTCCATTAAAATGTGCAGAAGTTTGTTCCCTGCTGGGGATGTGTTAACATATGTATTTACTCAGAAATTCCACAAAATGTCATTTGGGCAAATTTATACATTGTGCTTTAACAGGACTTGCATGTCCTGATAATTGTAAATTTTAGACAGCAAAGCCTGATGCTTCAGATTACAGTTTGATATTAAAAGGACTATATTATGAAAAACACAAATTTCCCTTGGTGTGTGGCAGTAAAACAGTTTGACATAGTATGTATCAAAATGTGTTATTTACATTCCAGTCTGTTTATAGAAAGTCTTTTTTGAGTTCGTTTTTTGTGAGGTCACCAAAAAACAAATAATTACTATATAAAAAATAATATATTCTCCTTGTAGCAGTTTATAGCAGTTTAGCCCCACCCACTCACCACCCTGAAGTTATAAGGGGTGTTTCAGCCCAGACTGCTTTTTGAACGAAGCACAAAACAGTACAGCCAAGCAGAACAGATCCCATTTACATGTATCTTAAAACCAGTACCAAAACCTGTTTAATTCTAAGGGATAAAGAGAAATTAGAAAATGGTCTTTTAAAAATGAATTATGACTATTTTTGGTACATAAACCTACACAAACATCGTAAACAGACGTCAAACCTCAGGGGGAAAAAATAAAGGATATGGACACTTTAAAATAAACATGAACTTTCTGTTTAACAAAACAACAAAATTAAACTGCAGTGTTTGTTGCAAGGCCTAAAATACTAATGTTTAATTTATTGTGTATATGTATATTTAGGAGGATAGATATTTAAATTTTGTTTTGAAACAAACGATCTTTATTGTACATTGAATATCACAACACATTAAAATGACTTTTTATTGCAAAGTGTATAAAAATTCTTTATACAGTTCATTGCTCTGTGTCTTGGTGATCTTTTTTTTTCTTTAAAGTTGACCTTACAAAGAAAAGCAATGGCATTAAATGTCCCCGATTGGAGAAAAATGTGATGGTGCTAAACAGTCTCGTCTACTTTCTTTTCTCTTCAGAATTTTTCCCCTTTGGTGAACGGAAGCGTGTCTTTTTTGAGAAAAGCAGGTTCTTGGTGAAGAACAAGGGAACGTTGCCCCTGTAGAGGAGCAAGGCCAGGGTCATGCCTAAAAAATATAGCCATATTTATTATATATTGCACATCATATTTCACATGTAAAATCTGTGTAATAATTATTATTATATATTACATATTCATTAGAATATGAATGTGGTTGTATTTAGACACAGAGGTGCCCATAAAGATTATTTTGAACATTTGGGTCATGGAGGCAAACAGCACTGTTATATGTTTTATCTTACAGGCTCTAATCATTCAGAATGAAAAGACTGTGCACATTTGTGTTCAGTTCAACATAACCTACCCACAAGAGGTCCAAGCCAGTAGACTAGAGCGTATTCGGAGATGGTGTGTCCAGGGCAGGTGAAGGTCAGTGCGTAGGCGAGGGAGGGATTCACATAAGCAGAGGTATAGTCGCTTCCTTTAAATGAGTACACAGTCAATAAGAACATCTGCTTGTATGGCCCTTATTCTAATAGTCGTCTCTTTAAAGATGAGTTCTGAATTTCAGCAGAATTAAAATGACTAAGGTTTAAACAGTGTCAGAGTGGTATGATGTGAAAAGCATTCTAGAGATACAGAACTGTTCATAGTAGTGGTGATAGGAACTGGGTGTTTGATGTGTTTATCATTAAAAGCTCCCTCACAGAAAGCTATTACATGTAGTGGTCATAAAGGTACTGCCTGATGTCTGACACATTGTTTTATAGTAGTTTTGAGACGGTTCTGGCCTAAAACATCCATACATTCAGCTCATTCGAAGGCAGAATAGTCACCAAATAAAACATTTTTGTAGATTGACCATTATTTTACTATCATGGAAAAATTCATACACTTAAAACTCAGACACATACAGGTTCACTGGTGGTTTTGGAATGTAAATAAAATGGCTATATTTGTGTTGTAGACATTGTGACCCCTGGTTCCTATCAGCACCACTGTGAAGAAATTTAAGATGGTAAGTTGGTCACATCACTCGAAATGTTTACATCATTATAATTGAATTATGGTTAACTTGAGGTAAGTTGTGAAAAGTTCCTCTTTAAGACCTTGACTGGAACATAACCTTAGACTGGTCTGCCAGGTGATGTCAGTTAATGCACTACCATTCAGAAGTTTGGAATCACTTTTTAGTTTTAATTTGTGTTTATTTTTGCTGTTTTACACACAATAATGGCATATATGCAGTCGAAGAGCACTTTATTAGGAACACCACCTTGTCTCTACACTCATTGTCCATTTTATCAGCTCCACTGACCATATAGGAGCACTTTGTAGTTCTACAGTTACAGACTGTAGTCAGTTCTGCAGTGATGCTGATATGGTGGTAGTGTGTTAGTGTGTGTTGTGCTGGTACAAGTGTATCAGACACAGCAGTGCTGCTGGAGTTTTTAAACAGTGTGTCCACTCCGTGTCCACTCTAATAGATACTCCTACTTTGTTTGTCCACTTTGTAGATGTAAAGTCAGAAACGATAGCTCATCAGTTGGCTGGATATTTTTGGTTGGTGGACTATTCTCAGTCCAGCAGTGACACTGAGATGTTTAAAAACTCCACCAGCACTGCTGTGTCTGATCCACTCAGACCAGTGCAACACACACTAATACACCACCACCACGTCATTGCAGTGCTAAGAATGATCCACCACCCAAATAATACCTGCTCTGTGGGGGTCCTGGTCATTGAAGAACAGGGTGAAAGGGGGTAACAAAGTGTGCAGAGAAACAGATGGACTACAGTCTGTAATTGTAGAACTACAAAGTGCTCCTATATAGTAAGTGGAGCTGATAAAATGGACAATGAGTGTAGAAACAAGAAGGTGTTCCTAATAAAGTGCTCAGTGAGCGCATATATGGTGGATATTAATGAGTTATTCAACATTTCAAGTGTATCAGAAACAACAAGAAGGTATTAACCAATAAATAATATAGTACATTTAGTGATTTTTAGCTTTTTGGTCAAGTTATCTGCTTTGGGATATGAGACACCCTTTTTTTCTGCTTAGCTGACTTACCTACATAGTAGAGGAAGGTGAGCAGCAGGGCTAAGAGGGGAGTCTGGAGCAGCTGTGACCTGCGGTGTAGGCTGAGGGCAGCCAGATGAAAAGCCAGTGCACTCACAACCTCTGTAATGGTGCCCTGTATCAGTGGTGCACGCAGTGATGTGCTGCACTCAGCTGTCATCATGTTCTTGATCATGTGCATGTCTGTCAGCTCCATTGCCCAGTACCAGCCGGCTAAGAGCAGGGCAAGCTGTGCCCCTGCGAACTGGCCTGCTAAGCTGAGAACAGTGGATACTACTCCAGTCTCCTTCTGCAGGAACCCCATCAAAGTCACTGAAGGGTTTCCAGTGACTCCTTGCATGATGACACCATGGATGGTTATGGCTAGGAAGAGCATTGTAAGGGTGACATCTGGGCCCAAGCCTCCAGCCCACTGGCCAATCTCAGAAATGGTTTGCACCTCCAGCCTGCAGGCCGCAAGCACAAAGGCAGCAATGAATTCAGTCAAGAAAGTCCACTGCGGCCTCTTTCGCACAAGCAGAACCCGAGCAAATGCACCTACGGCCACCACAGTTATGAAGTAGCCCAGTGATATATTAAGCCCTGACATTATTAGGCCTTGGGTCTACGGGCAGCGTGCACACCTGGCTGGGTCAGAGGGAAAAGAGAGGCAGGAGTTCCCCAGCCCCAGTATTTGCTCACAGTGTATGATAACGTGGCACACTGAGGCACAAGTTTCTTATCAAAGCCCACGTTTTTTCATACCTGGAGCCAAAACACCACAACTGACCGATTCAAGGCCATGTGGAAAGGGGACATGTGGTGTAGTCACTCATTATCACGCTAATGTGGGTCTTCGTTCGGCAGCATGAGGGTGATTCCGCGACGGGGTGCCATTCAGCCCTCTTAAACTCTTTTAAGAACTCTTAAAAAGTCAACTTTATTTAATCCTCAGCATTTACAACACTGAATCTAAACATGCATTTAACCATTCAAAAGCATTCAGTATCTTATTTTGTACAAGGTTTCATTGTTACCAATAGCTTGAAGTAAGAGGGTTGAGTTTTTTACCATAGAAATAGCAAATGCACAAAATGTGATGAAATAACATAAGGACATTAAGGACATTCTAATAGTTTACTTAAAATGTATTTTTGTATTAATAATTTAATTTTAATCTGTAATTTGGGTAACAAAGCAAAAGAAAAAAGAATGACAAAAAAAAACAATTTTCTTCCCAGGGTGTCCAGGAAATTCTGATGATTCAAATTCATATTGAATATGTGACTTGTGCAATATTCCATAGGGGTGAATGTGTTCTGGTGAGTAAATGTTAAAGGACACAACTTCATAAGCTGTGATAGGTATGGAAAAGAATATTTCAGGCATTCGATGTTAAATGAATTCACACAATGCAAAAATAATAAGTATTTTGATGAATATATTTAAGGGTTAAGTGTAGCTATAGTGGGCTGGGACAGGTTTCTGTAGGTTTCTTAGTGTGGGTCTTATTAATGTTTATGTTACTTACCTGAAACAAGCAGGTAGGTTGTTGTACTGGTCTCTTTATTAATGTTGTAAACAACTCTTACCTTTACATACATATTTGTAAAGGTAAAGGGACATAAACGGCACTCCAATCGTGGGTCGCCCTCCCCCAGACGTTTTGAGTTGGTTCAAAATGGATCTTTTGTGGCAGCTTGGACTTATTTTTGGACTGTTTTGCTATGGCCATAATTTTCACCACTGGCTGTTTGACCTGAATGTTCTTAAGAGGCTGAAGTCTGATTCCTCCTCGTCAGCTTCTTTTTTTCCTGTTCCACCTTAATGGTGCAACAGTAAAGATTACATTTCAGTGCCAGAATGTAACCGCTGCACGATTTAAGGTGGAACCGTAAGATTCAAACAAGAATCTGGTGAATAAGAAGCTGACTTAAGCTTTGTAAAGTTATTGAAATTTTGTCGGCCAACTGACTGATAGAGAGAATTTATTAATCTTTTGATTTCTAATGACGAAATATAACAAAAACACAAACCAGTGTCCACTTATTTATTTCTGGAAAAGGTTCTATATAGCACCAAAAGGGTTTTGCTATTGTTACAATGTCAAGCTTGTATTAATAGCAGAACCTGGTGTATGTAGAACCATTTAAGAAGAAGTCTGTATAGAACCATATACAACACATTCTCCATCAATATGAAGAGCCATTTCACCAAAGAACCAAATGGTTCTACGCTGAACTCAATTCTAAATAGAACTGTTGCCTTTACTAAAGAATCCTTGAAGAACCTTCTTTTTTATATGTGTATGTATTAAAAATTCTTGTATAACTACAAACTAGCACTACCGCTGCCTCACAAAGGTCATTTCCATGTTTCTTAGTCATAAGTTCTGAAAAAAAATGATATTTTTGTATCACTATCGCACAGTTTTATAAAATTCCTATGGAATTTTGACTCTCCATCGTTTTTTCCGATGTGTTGTTGAATATTTTATTCCTTCACATTCCACAGATTAATCAAAACTAATTGTGCCCATTTTGATTTCAAAAGAAATTTGAATATGACCGCTAGCCTTTTGTGTCGACACATTGTTGTATCCTCTTTTTCTATATTTATCAAAAAATTAATTTCTAAGAACATTTCATCATTTGAAAGTTCTCTTCTGTACATCGGATTCTGTCCTTTATCAATGACTGTTCAGACATCAGTAGCCAATACTTGGCTGTCACCTCACTGTAAACACTGACCTCTTGATGACGAAATATAACAAAAATACAAAACAGTGTCCAGTTATCTTCATAATTGGAAATGTATGCATGAAATTTAACTTAGCTAGAAACTTAGATTCCATATATTATCTCAGTTAGTTAGCTAGGTTATGTTATTAGCTAACTTGGCTATTTTATAGCAGCATGGCGGCTTTTTCTGCCCTTATAACTGAAGTTTTAAATGTTCAGCGGAGGGCTGGGTTTGATAAAAGGCCAATAAATAAAACAAAAATAATACTTGAGTAAGACGACACAGAACCCATCAGGGTCGGTATTTTAAGGCTTTCCGTCAATTTGTGCTCCAGGCCTCGTTGGCGCAGTAGGCAGCGCGTCAGTCTCATAATCTGAAGGTCGTGAGTTCGAGCCTCACACGGGGCAGATCTTTTGGCATTTCTTTTGTTGATATACTGTATGTTCTGAATAGCACCATACACAATTCAGCCGCACGTACGTCACACTTATAAATATTATTAGAAGCCAACTACACACGTATGTGCTGTAACAGCACTGCAGAACTCTACCCCTGATCTAAAAGAGGGCTTCATTCAGTGTATGTGTAAAGGTCTGTGGTGTTTTGTCGCCCCCTAGCAGTCATACTGCCTTATGACATCCACAGCTGGGATTATCTCCCCCAAACAGGCTTATTTAGCAAAAAACAGGGCTCTTATGGCTTTGGGCTCCCTAAAACATGGCTCAGAGATCAGTTGGAAAGTGTTTGGTGTTTCAAAATATATAATAATAACTAGATCACATTTCATACAGGTAGCAGCTCGAAGTGACAGCAGTAGTAAAAGGAAAGAGGTTAGTGATTTTTGTCTACTGTTAGTTTAGTAACAGCAACAAAACAAAGTAAAATGGAATAAAGTTACAAGTCACAATTAAAATAAGCTGAGACATAACAGATTACAGTTAAACGATAAATACGAAAAGCTCGAATTTGAATTAAAATTCATCAAACAAAAAGATGCCTCTCCACTTTTTCAGGGTATTTAGCTACATCATGTGTTGGAGCATATACAGACAACCACTCTGTGAGGTGCTGTGAGGCCATTAAGAGCTCACTGACAGCAGCTTAGTTTATTGTTTTTGCATCAACACTGTTTTTTTTCTCTCTGTTGCCGAAAATCGGCGACCAGAGCTGGGATTCAAACCTACGATATACACCGATCAGGCATAACATTATGACCACCTCCCTGTTTCTACGCTCATTGTCCATTTTATCAGCTCCACTTACTATATAGGTGCACTTTGTAGTTCTACAGTTACAGACTGTAGTCCATCTGTTTCTCTGCATACTTTGTTAGCCCCCTTTTACCCTGTTCTTCAGTGGTCAGGACCCCCATGGACCCTCACAGAGCAGGTACTATTTGGGTGGTGGATCATTCTCAGCACTGCAGTAATACTGACATGGTGGTGGTGTGTTAGTGTGTGTTGTGCTGGTACGAGTGGATCAGACACAGCACTCTTCTATCTGATTCTGTCCTTTACCAATTACTGTACAGACATCAGTAGCCAATACTCAACTGTCACCTCACTGTAAACACTCACCTCATGTTTATGAAACAGATACCTTTGTTTACAACTTCTGTATTTTTAATGATAAAATATGTGTGTATGTAACATATATGAAAACATATGACAGATATATTTTGAAACATGTAGCTATTCAGATATTCAGCTAGCAAGTAAATTATTAGAGCTAATACTTAGCTAGATAGCAAACTTTGAGTGTTGCTTCTACTGTATTACTGTTAGACCACCTATTGAGAAACTGAGTAATACAGTGGGAGAATAAATAAATGAATAAATAAAATTCATAACTCATTCATTCTGGTGCCTCTTTGCTGAGTCAGTTGAGAAAAGGTTCTAATGCATTTCAATAGCATAAAATTAAATCTTTACTGTATTTGTACATGGAAAGTGATGAAATAAACACTAAACAATAAAACATTTGCCATCAGATTCTTATTTCTTTTAGTTGAACATAAAGATTCCAGTTTGACCCACTTCATGCAGAAAAGTAAGTAACCGTGTTAATTAAAATTCTGAATGCACTGAATTTCTAACAGAACACAAATCCTATGGAGACCCTAAAGTGTCTATGCAAAATAAAAAATATTTGCAACAGCGTTGCATTCCCTTCAGAAAAGTTTGCATTCCCTCACAAACATTATGCATTCCATTGCAATTATTTTGCATTCGATTGCAATACTTTCACATTTTCTAGCAAAAGTTTTGTGTTCCCATGCAAAATCCACTGCATTTGCGAGGGAATGCAAATTTACTGTAAAGGAATGCAAAATATTTGCAAGAGAACGCCAAATTATTGCGAAGGGACGCAAAATTTTTGCAAGGGAACTCAATGTCTACTTTTTTTAACCATGGTCCTTTAGGGGCTCCATACAAATATACTGGAGCCACTAAATTGCCTATGCATGAGAGAAAAAAAATTGCAACAACATTGTGATCCATCCTTTTTAAGTTCCCTTGCAGCTATTTTACCTTCCTTTGCAAAACTTTTGTGTTCCCATGCAAGATCCACTGCATTTGCAAGGGAAAACAAATGTTTGCGAGAGAGCATAAAATTATTGCGAGGGAACACAAAACTTTTTATTTTTATTTTTTTATTAACCACAGATACTTAGGGGCTTCAAATGTACAAAGCCACTGAAGTGCCTTTACAGCCCAAAAAAAAATTATATATATATATATATATATATATATATATATATATATATATATATATATGTGTGTGTGTGTGTGTGTGTGTGTGTGTGTGTGTGTATTATATATATATATATATATATATATATATGTGTGTATATATATATATATATATATATATATATATATATATATATATATATATTTGCAATGGCACTGTGTTCTCTTGCAAAAGTTTTAAGTTCCCTTGCAATTATTTTGCCTTCCTTTGCAAAACTATTGTGAGGGAATGCCAAAATTATTGCAAGGCAATGCAAAACTTTATTTATTTATTTATTTATTTTTTAACCACAGTCACTTAGGGGCTTCGTACAAATGTACATAGCCACTAAAGTGGAGTCTTTGTGGAAAAAAAATATATTTGCAACAACATTGTGTTTCCTCGCAAAAGTTTTGAAGTTCCCTTGTAATTATTTACCGCATTTGCAAGGCAATGCAAAATTATTGCAAGACAATGCGAAACATTAACGAAGAAACGCAAAATTATTGCGAGGGAACGCAATTTCATTACAGTCCTTTTTTTTTTCAACCATGGCCCCTTGGAGCGTCAGGGCTTTAATTAAGGCGCCCCCTGGTGTCTGAGAGACTTAAGCAGTCGTTTGAATGTGGCTGATTAAGCAGGGCCGGTGTGGGAGAGCAGAGGAGAGGGGTGCAGCCAAACTGACCCTCACTCCATTAGGCATGCAGCGCTGCTTTTAGCTCCTGCCCGCCGCTCTCCCTGACTGACTGAGGGGAATTCTGAAGCATGTGAAACTCCCAGCCGCTCCACGCTTCAGCACAGCGCTCTTCTGGGAATATTCAGCTCAAAAAGCGCGCTGCCTGTCCCGATGCGCCGCCCTCCAGAGTCTGCTCTGGATAATCCTGCAGGGTGCTTCTGAGAGCGCGTGCGCTTATTTGTCTTGTCATTGCCTTAGAGGACTATGGATTGAAATGGTGCGATGTTCCGTGAGGCATTAGCACGCGTTTGGATTTGCTGGCTGCTGGTCACCACTCTGGGCTGGACGTGGACAGGTCATGCACACAGCTGCCATGAGGTCAAAACAGCTTTCCAGCTGCGCCAGGTCGGCCCCCTCAGATGGGTCCCAGAAACAGCAGCACCAGGTTGGTTTGCACAGCACAGCTTTAGAAACTTTGGAAGGACATGGGCCTTCTCCAGCCTGATGATCAGTAAATATTAAAAAGTATAAACAAGAAATAATTACAGCAGTCAAGTCAGATTTGGGGCAAACATCCTGATTGTAAAGCCGTGCAAGTTTATAGTGCAAAATAAATAAATGAAGTTGTTAAAAGTGTTTAAAAGCACCATATGACAGTGTCATAAATTATATCTGAGGTTTATTAACAGAATTTTACCTCAATTTCAGGAACATTCTGGTCATCTCTAGCAGGGAGTCTTTTAGCTGAGGTGAAGTTTTAGCATTTAACTTTAGAACCGGGCTGGAAGCTGGACATCAGTGTGCTTGTGCATCTGTGAGAGCGAGAGAGCGAGAGAGAGAGAGTGAAAAGAGAATGTGCGAAAGGTCAGGAAGGTCGCCGTGATCCCAGTCAGCTGTTTACTGCCCTGTATCGGTGACAGATTCTTCACATAGGGCAGTAGAAGAGTGTCCGGCAGGGCAGGTGCCCTCTCACAGTTCTACAGAGAATTTGTCAAGTCTCACTTTCTTTACATTTCTTTGGCATCTCTTACTTTCTCTTTAGTTTGTCTCTCTGTCAAACCTAAGTTATGTCAGTTTACCTCAGTTCAGCAGTTCTGCTTCAGCTGAGAGCGCCTGGATGAAACTCTGTCTGGGTTTCGAAATTCAATACTTTTACACTACCAAGCACATTACTGATACTACTACTACAATTAATGGGCCATTCAGTACAAAAGATCAATACTCAATAGTCTGTTTTATCAGCTACCGTGAGCCAATAAGCATGCTTCTTCCAACATTTATGATTGGCTGTGTAAGGTACACTCCATATGCATGTTATTAACTTCCCGATTAGTCTGTAATCTGTTGTGGTCAGTAAATATATCATCCACTTCCAGAACCTCCTACAGAGAACCTAAAGTGCCTATGAGAAATAAAAAAAAAAATTGTCATTTTGTTCCCTTTTGAAATGTTTGCATTCCCTCACAAACATTTTGTGCTCCATTGCAATTGTTTTGTGGTTGATTGCAACGGTTTTGCATTCCCTCGCAAAAGTTTTGTGTGTGTCCCATGCAAAATTCACTGCATTTGTGAGGAAACGCATAATTACTGTGAGGGAATGCAAAACTTTGGCAAGGAAACACAATGTTTACTGTAATCTGTTGTGGTCAGTAAATATACCACCCACTTCCAGAACCTCACACTCAGGCCTTGTGCCACAGGTGTCCAAACCATTTTGAACCATTTTTACTATTCAAATATCCAAACCCTTTAATAGAATTTAAATATTTCAACAATGAACTATTTTACATTGTGTCATTCATGTGAAGCACCACACTTCCATAGCACCACAGATGCTTTTGTCCTGTAGTCATCTCCCCAACCTAGCACTGCCTCTACAAATATAAAATAAGGCATTGGATATTCATGTAAGGTCATGAAATCTGTAATTTATTATATGATAATAATAATAATAATAATAATAGCAACTATTTCAGCTAAGCACCATTTGTTTTGTTTTGTTACCCTCATGTTTTTGCTGTACAGTGCCATTAAAAAAGTATTGGCCCCCTTGCATATTCATCACACTACATACTTTAAGATCATTGAAAATGTAATGTAAGACAAGGAGAACAGGAGGAAACACAAAACACAGTTTAAATTATTGTTCATTTATTGAAGGAGAAAAAGTTTTACAACACATAACGTCACTCATAAAAAAAAGTAATTGCCTCCTGGTTGTGCCACCTTCAGCAGCAACAACTGCAGCCAGGCACTTTCTATTACTGGCGATTAGTCTCTCATGTTGCTGTGGAGGAATTTTGGCCCACTTTTCTTTGCAGAATTGCTATAATTAATATAAGCCACGTTGGAGGGCTTTCGAGCATGAACTGCCTGTTTTAAGGTCCTGCCGCAGCATCTCGATGGTGCTCAAGTCAGGACTTGCTTGTGTGCTTTGGATCGTTGTCTTGCTGCATAAACCAACTGCGCTGGAGCTTCAGATCACGGACTGATCAGTGGGTACTCTCCTGCAGAATTGTGTGGTAGAAAGCAGAATTCATGGTTCTGTCGATTATGGCAATTCATCCAGGCCCTGAAGCAGCAAAGCATCCCCCACTCTATCACACTACCACCACCATGTTTTACTGTTGGTATGCTGTTCTTATGGTGGAATGCTCTATTAGCCTTATGCCAGATGTGATGGGACCCCTGTCTTCCAAAAAGTTTCGTTTTCAACATATTAGTTCTCAGAACATTACTCCAGAAGGCTTGCTCAGGTGTTTTCTGGCAGATGTAAGGCGAGCCTTTAGGGCCAAAGTGTCAAACATAAGGCCTGCAGGCCCGCAAAAGTATTTGAATTTTCTATTAATATTAGCCTGTTTCACAATGTGCTGCACTACAGTCCCCAGCATGCACTGCAACATAATGTGCTCCAACTCTCCCACCCCAACAACAGTCTATGGGACAACAGTTATACCTCAGTTCTACACTGTTCTGCTCAATTCCACACCTGTCATATCATCAAAATGCATTTCAGCTGCAGTTCAACCATCGTCAGCTCAGCAGCTCTAAGTCCTAATGAACTTGTAGCAAGGACGAGATGTCAGGTGTCTAGTTCAAGCAAATAGGTAGGTTTAAAAGACTGAGCTTCTGGGGACATTTAAATGTGTAATATTTCAAGTGTCCATATAATATTTCAAGGTCTGCTGCAAGTGTCTCTATTTTACTGGTGACGTTTTTGCATATTTTGAATAAACAGTGGTCAGTTCAGGTTACAGCACAACATTAATTTAAAATTAAATAATTTTTTTTTTCTCTGGCCCACAGATTTGATGAGATTTTTTAATATGGCCCTTTTACTGGTTGAGTTTGACACCCCTGCTTTAGGGGATACTAGTGTGGGGATGCCTTTAGGTTCCTCTTGGTTAGCCATGGTTTTTGCCTCGCAAATCTCCCATGGATACCACTTTTGGCCAGTCTTTTTCTGATAGTGGAATCATGAATATTGACCTTATCTGAGGTGAGTGCGGTCTGCGTTTCCCTAGATGTTCATCTGATTCACTCGTGACTTCTTGGATGAGTCATCTCTGTGCTGTCGGTGGAATCTCCCTTGAAGATTCACTTCTGTTCCAAGTTTTTTCAGTTTGGAGATAATGGCTCTTACTGTGGTTTGCTGACCTTTTAACCCTTTCCAGACTCATATATTTCAATAGCTTTCTTTTTTAATCTCTTGAGGAATTTCTTGTGCTTGAAAACTATAATTTGATTGAAAAATATAATGAAAAGTATCATTTATGAATCGGTATTGAAGTCAAAGGATTGATACTGTTTTCAGATGATACCAAACTTATCTAGTTGAGTTTATTAGCCTGGTTAATAGCTAAGAGCTAATAGCAAAAATAGATTCTCAATAGTCTCAGCTGCGCTGGCCTAACTACAGTTACAGGTTGGTACAGGTTTCTAATAAAACAGGGTATAGACAACAGAGTTGTCTAACTCAGTGTTGTCAGTGGTGGAATCATCAGCTTCAGCAATGCCATAACTGTTTACTGTCTTTCCTCTGCAGATGCTGAGCTCCAAATCTGTAAGCACCAGGGTCCGACCTGCTGCACCCGCAAAATGGAGGAGAGCTACCATGCTGCTGCACGCAGAGACACCCTGCAGAACATTCTCTCCTACAGCTTCGAGCTCAAGTATCTCATCCTTGGTCATGCATCTGCCTTCCAGGGTAAGGCCTGAGCTTTAAAGAACAGAGCGTAAACATTGCCTTTATTGACTAACACTCAAAAGCAGGGGCCACCAGCTTCTATCAGGTCCTAGTATGGACCTGGTCTTTGTATTGTATTGACGTTTGTGTGGGTTTAAGTCAGTTTCTCATGACCATTTTCCAGACTCTCTTTATCCCTTAGAAATAACAAAGCTGATTTTGTTACTGTGCCTTTAAGACTGATATATAAAAATGAGCTCAGTTCTGATTGGCTGTACTGTATTGTGCCTCATTCAAAAAGCAGTCCAGGCTGAAACACTCCTTATAACTGTAGTCTGAATGGGCGGGGCTAAACTGCTGTAGGCTGAATGGCTAGACATGTGATGTGGTGACATCACAAAAACAGTGAATTCAAAACAGGCTGCTTTGGCAGCTTAGGTTTACATATATAGACTGTGTGGACTGGGACAGGTGCCTTGTTTATAACTTTAACTTTTACATACTACATACAAGAAAATAAACAAATAAACATTAAATCATTACTGTCATATGAAAATGGAAAATTTGCTGTCATGTTCCCTTTTAGTGTGTAAGCATTTCATGATATATGGGCCACAGAAATGGTCCAAAACTATGTGGAATAAAATCTAAAATATGTTTGCATTAACATACAGTACTGTGCGGAAGTCGAGACCACCCTTCATTTGTATAATTTCCACTCGAATGGGCCATTAAGTAAAATTTATTTGATTTCAGCATCATAGAAGAAGTAGAAAACATGTATTTAACAGAAAATCACACAGAAGCCTCAACAAATAATTTTAGTATTTAGTGTGTCCACTTCTTACCTTTATTACAGCTTCCATTCTTTTTGGGATACTTGCTTTCAGAAATCTGCAGGGATATTTTTCCACACCTCTAAAGTTCAGCCTTAGAAGTTCTCCTCTCTCTCAGACTGGAGTTTTTAAACACCTCAGTGTCACTGCTGGACTGCAGCAGCAGATGAGCTATCGTCTCTGACTTTACATCTACAAGGTGGACTGACAAGGTAGGAGTGGCTAATAGAGTGGACAGTGAGTGGACACAGTGTTTAAAAACTCCAGCAGCACTGCTGTGTCTGATCCGCTTGTACCAGCACAACACACACTAACACACTACCACCACGTCAGTGTTACTTCAGTGCTGAGAATGATCCACCACCCAAATAGTACCTGCTCTGTGAGGGTCCATGAGGGTCCTGACCACTGAAGAACAGGGTAAAAGGGTAACAAAGTATGCAGAGAAACAGATGGACTACAGTCTGTAACTGTAGAACTACAAAGTGCACCTATATAGTAAGTGGAGCTGATAAAATGGACAATGAGCGTAGAAACAAGGAGGTGGTCATAATGTTACGCCTGATTGTGTATAAAGGTAATGACATGAAGTTCTCAAGTAAAAGCTCTGAATATCTTCAGGATTTACAACTTTGTCTAGGAATTTTAGAAGCTCACTGTGATTCCAGGAGACTTTTTCTTTCTAGAGCCGTCACTTTCTGTTCTGAGAAACCTGACTGTGGCTTTACGGAGGGCTTAAAGAGTCTTTCTCTGTCTCTCAGGTAACATTTCAGGGCTCTCTATGGAGGCAGTAAGAGTGCAGACTTGGAAACGGATTGAGTTTTCGAATTCAGGATGAGACCTTTTAGAGTTTGAATCAGAACAAGACTCATAAAAAGAGCTAATGGGAGACTTAATTTCACTTTAGGAGGGAAATAGTAAGGGAAAAATGAAAGGCGTAGTGGGAAAGTTCTCTAAAATTGACAGATTCATGAAAAGGCAAATCAGTCTGTAATGAAATGCGAATACACTCTGGCATTTTTAATGGTGCATCCAGATATAATAAAGCGTAACTTCTGAACTCTGTGTGAAACTGCCATCTACATTGTGTGAACATATCATGATGAGGGGGCCGATAGAAATGACTGAAAATTACTTGGAATAAATGCTTGATGCAATTTAAACCCTTTGATAAACAGGAAGCAGCAGCAGATGTTTTGCTATAGCACTTGAGGCTGTTTGCATTTCTCTTCTTATCCCTCATCTCGTGACATCCCTCAAATTCTCAGGGACTCTTCCGCTCCCCCTTAGGTTGTGTTGTCCTGAGAGCATTAGTTGAAGTCCGTGCAAGCAAAGGGGGCTTCTGTTCCCAAAGGACGCATTGCAGTTGCCATCAGACTTGCTGTGGGCTTTTGCTCTTGTTGTTGTAGCAGTGGACAGTGCAGAGTTTGTTCACTTGCAGGATGTGCAGACACACAGGGATCATCAACAACACGTCAGGAAGTGCTTTTTGGACACACATCACAGAGGCTATGTTTGAAACTATGCCCTGTTCACTAAATAGTGCACTCTTTTGGGTGCACTATTTCTACAGTATAGAAAGAAACTATACTCCAGTGCATTATTCTGTGGGTTTATGGATCACTACACGGTGTTACCATGAACTGTTCAGCCAGTGTTGTACACTGCAAAAATTGTAAAAGTAAAAAAAAAAAGTAAAAAGTAAAATTATCTTTAATATAGTCAATAAATCTAATATTTCTCCTGTTGGGATTGTTGTAAGCTTAATTTAAGACTATTTACCTTATTTCTAGATATTTTACTTGTTTTAAGTAATTTATTAAGTGAAATTATCTCACTGTATTGGCAGATAATTTTGCTTGTTTTAAGAAATGTGCTTGCATCTGCCAGTATAGTGAGATCATTTTACTTGATAAAATGACCTAAAACAAGTAAATATTGTCTAGAAATGAGCTGGATAATCTTATAATAAGCGAGCGACCATCTCAAAATGGGAAATATTAGATATATTGACTAGATTTAAGATCATTTCACTTGACAAGAGACCATTTTTTGCAGCATATTACTAATAATCTATAGTAAATGACACTGGGTTTTTGTCTGTACTGCACGTCTGTATCATCTCTAGAGACTTCAGTCGCTTTTGCTGTCTTATAATAATGTATACATGGAATTATGTGTTTGAAACTACAAATAATGCCTTCATATTTCTGCATACATTAGAACGTACTCTAGCCTTAATTTCCTGGCACTTTGTGTTACAAATTGAGACCTTCCTTTAAATGGATAATTCAGTTTTATCATTAAAGGAGTTCTCTGGCCAAAGTAAAAAATATAACCATTGCAATATCAGTTGTAAATTTGCTTACTTGCCTCAGAGAGTGGTGCCACAATAGTCTCTAGATTGAGATTTTCCGGTCTATGAAACTCCCCTGCTGATGAAATATGTTGAACGTGGGAGGAACTTTTGAAAAACTACATATAATTGTTTGCCATAACTGGCCAATGCAGAAGCAATAGTAAACAATACTGCTAGGAAGCCAAACATCACATCTTTATTAGTGGATCAGTGTATAAGTGGATTTCTGTATTGCTGTAAAGGGGGGACAAAGTTGCATAAATCAATCCAGAATCATCAATGGCAAGCAAGAGGAGGCAAAATTGTGAACTCTGTCAAACCAGTGAGGTTGATGGATGCAATGCTGTGCTACAAAATACTACATAACTGTGGTCCCTCAAGCAAACCCTATCACTTGACCCACGCCATTAATTTAATCTCACACTCTTACACTTTACCTGCACCTAGTAATTATTCTATTCCAAGCCCTCAGAAAAAACTTCAGACGCTGTGTTTAGTTGGAAAAAGGATAAAAAGGCCTCTTTATTCAAGCTCAGTACAAGGCATTGCTTGGGCACCGGCAACCAAATGCGAATACAATGTACAAAGTTTCATGTTTTCTACACTTTTCAGAGATGAGGTCATCCCCTCTCTCTCTCTTTTGATGTCATAACCTGTTCTGCCCATCATTAAATCACTTTTTGGACCCAATTAAATTCGACCCATTAAAAAAGGTTCAGTTGTCTTTTTCGTATCTAACTATTGAAGAGGGAAAGCCGCGTCTTTGGTACCCAGCACCTCCCTTGGTGCTTATCAAACACCTGTTTATACAGTTGGCCACTTGTGGCTTAAGGTTGAAAGGGTTCACTTAAAACCCTCTGCTTAGAGTTTTCTGGAAGTTTCTGCGCAGACCAAAGGCACTTATCTGAATGCATGGTACTTACAAAGTTATAGGTGCTTTCCACACAAAATGTTTAATCCTGTGCTATGTATGCCTTCTTGTGGGTAAGAGAATCAATAATGTTCTCTTTAATATTCCATCATAATGTGTCAAATAACTAAGGATTCACAGTGATATCAGAAGTATGTTGGTATCGGCAGATATTTAAGAAAAAGTCTGTATTAGACAGATGTTTAGATTTGACCGATATTTAATTATGCATAATTATGCTCCAGGAGAGCAGAGGTGGGCTGCTGCGCTAAAATATCTGCATTTAATTGCATTTCTATTTTATATTATATCTTTCATATTGAATGCAAGTTTTAGGCCTTAAAGAAGACTGGTGTGTGTGAATCGACATTAATATCTACAGTCAGGCCTTAAATACCATCAGAAAATGCACTGAGCAATGTGCCGTCTTCACATTAGACAGCCTGGTGGAAAATCCAGATACCTAAAAATCTCTGAACGAGTCAGAACCGTCCATGTAAGATCGTTTCATTTGCTTCCCAGACTCTGCGTCTTTTCAAAGAGAGTCAGCAGCACCGTCACACTTTTCCGTGTCCTCTTTCTCTCCTGCCAGCAGAGTGAATATTAAACAAGCTCAGGCGGCGGAAAGGGAAATGTTGAAATTCTCCGAGTATCCTTGGAGATCTGTCCATGCTAGGTTCAATGTATTGCGCTATAATGAGTGCAGATGAATGGGCTCGAAAAGATCATTTGTGTCCCTTTGTGCTTTTCATGGGATTGTAGCTGGTGGCCTGGTCGACGGAGAGCGAGTCCCTGAAGTGCTTTCATTGCTGTGTGGGAGAGGAGTGTAGATTTAGACAGTAATGTGGCTTCACTCTCTCACTGAGTAACGTTAGTCTTTGTGTGGAGAAGTGTACAGTAATCACTAATGAAAGAG